TAAAAATCATAAGACTTGTGTGGCTACAATTCTGGTTTTCACTAGAGAATGTGCAGTTTGAAGGCCTCCTATAAAATGAGTTGATATCCAAGTCACAATCATTATCATACTAAGGAAGTGCAATAGGGAGAAGGCTGAACTGCTTAATTCATATTTTGCATCTGTAGTTTGGCAAAAGAAAAGAGGACTGGTCCAAACTGTCATAAGCTGCATTGGGTGTTGAGATAAGAAGAGGAAGGTCATAATAGACAAAGAATTGGTGAAAGAAACTCTGAGTAATTTTGAATGAAGGATCTGGAACTGGGTGTATTATATTGCAGGAATTAGCACATGTAATTTCAGAACACTGATTGTAATCTTTGAAAACTGTTAAAGGATTAAAACAAAGTTTGTTCTGGAAGAAATGCCAGAAAATTGTAGAAGAGCAAATGTTGCTCCCATTTTCTTAAAAAGGAAAACATTGATTCAGGAAACTACAAATCGGTTAAGTTGACATCAGTAAGTGGGAAATTCTAGAAAAAATAATTAAGCAGTGGCTTTGCAGGCACCTAGAGAAGAACAAAATGATTATTAGAAGCCAGCATGGTTTTGTCAAAACTAGGTCATACCAGACAAATCTTACTACATTTTTTTGATGAAGTGATTAATTTAGTAGACCAGGAAAATGCTGTGAATATAGTGTACTTACTTCCAATATGGTATTTGATAATGTTGACCATATGCTTTTCCTTGATAAAATAGAACAATGTGGGATGGATAATCCCTCTAGCACAGGGGTTCCCAACCGGGGGTGCGAGATGATATTCCAGGGGGTGTAAAAACTTGGCTTTTCAAAATTATAGTGTATATGCATAATTTGTTGCCATTATTTTGAACTTTTGTAAGGGGTGCAAGAATACATCAGAAGCGTTCCAGGGCTGCGGGGTATAGAAAAGGTTGGGAGCCACTGCTCTAGCAGAAGGATTTGTAGCTGACTGAACAACCAGAGTCAGCATGTGATCATCGAATGCTTCTATGCCAACATGGAGAGATAAGTATCCTGTGGAAGATCTTGACTATTTCAATGAGGAACTAGAAGGGGTACAAAAAAATTGTAGATGATGCAAAGCTGGGGATTGCTAACACATTAGAAAACAGACTCAGTGTTCCAAAGGATTTTGACAGTTTTGAACATTGGGCCATATCCAAGAAAACACAGTTCAGTGTTGAGAAATATAGGTTCAACAGATAGGTAGGAAAAACAGATACAAGATAGGCAGCAATGGCCTAGTAATAATACTTAGGAAATGGATCAGGTAGGACTAGTAGACCACTTGAGCCACTAATGTGATGCTGCCGCCAAAACAGCTAATTCACTCTTGGGCAACATTAATAGAACTATAGTGTCAAGATCATGAGAAGAGATAATTCTGCTCCATGCTGCATCTGTCAGACTGTACTTGGGATATTGATTGCCTTAATACAAGGATGATGAGGACCCAGAAAGAGTTCAAAGAGTGACAAAGATGATAAGGGGCTTGGAAACTAAACCCAATGAAGAAAGCTTAAATGAACAGGCTATGTTTAGCTTTAAGAAGAAAAGATTGAAAGGAAACATGATAGCAGTCTTCAAATACTTAAAGGGTCATCCTAGGGAAGCTAGGAGCCATGGCTCCTGAGGGTAAGACAAGAAGTAATGGGTGGATGCTTTACAGAGGAGATCCAAACTCTAAATTAATATATTCTTCACTTACAGCTATTTAGCAGTAGTAGTAGCTATTTAGGTTTTTGGAGTTGTGGGTACTCTGTCATTGGAGGTTTTCAAGCAAGGCTTGGAGAGTCTTTTGTGTTGTATAATATGAGGATTCCTGCTCTGGACATAGGATTGGATCTCTTCAGTCCTATGATTCGATGAAGGTTTTCTCCTATAAGTATTCTACATAAATCAAAACCTCCATAAATAACTTTAGTACAATTGTTTTCTGTAATGCATAAATATTTGTGTGATATACAGAGATCATAAAGAAGAATGGTTTCTCTTCCATTTTTTTTCCAGAGACAGAATATATACAAAATTTAAACCCATTATTTCATCTTAACAAAAATAAAAATTAAAAGACAAGGGATCCTTTCCCCTTTTTAAGATTAGAGCTTGAAAGGAGGAAGAATACAACTCACAGTCTGGATTTACTGTACAGTTGAACCAAAATTCAGAACAGCTTGTGAGTGGGAAATAAGTAAAATAGAGAATGGGATTGGAAAAAGTCTCACTCAAATGGGAAGAAGTTTTGCAATTGGCTATATATTCTATACATAGTTCATGACTTACAACCATTTGTTTAGTAACTATTCAAAGTTACATTGGTGGTGAAAAAAGTGACTTATTTCCAACCCTTTGCACTTATGACCATCACAGAGTCCCGATATATGGGTACTTGGCAGCCAGCATTTATTTATGATGGTTGCAGTATTCCAAGGTCATTGAAATATGCTTAATACTTTGGGAGCAAAATGCTTATTATTTCTACTCTGTAAATGAACATTTAAGTAAGAAATAACCATTATAAGAACTGAAAAGACATTTTACCTGTTTAAAGTTGCCATTTTTTCGCTGTTCCCAGTCCATCATATCATGAAAAATGGGGATCATAATGTTGCGGACCTCTAGCTGTGGGACAAGTGTGACACCCAGAAAAGGACCGATCATTCCAGGAATAAAGTGAATTTTATGTTCCCCTGAACAACAACAACAACAAAAGAAAACAAAAATAAGCAGTTATTTACACCATTCCTTTGCATACCATTTCCTGCTCCTTTTTGTTTACTTTCACTGCTAACTGAAAATATTCTCTAACTGAAGATAAGGAATGAAGTCAGATATGAATCAAGCTAGATGCTTACCATAAAGAATTAAACCAAGGATAGAATAAGTTATGCCTGGAAATGTGTATGTGTATGAGCAACTATCATCTAGTGATAGTGTACAGTTCCAAAGGACAAATGATTCTCCTGTTTTATAAAAAATATTTCTATGAAGTTGTACCAATATGTGTTATAATCTGAATGTCCCTTTAACAGTGGATGAAAGATTGTCCAGCACTGTGCTATTATTAGATTAAATATAAATCTTAAACTGAGTAAATCTCAGTTTACTTAAAGAGTAACTTACCCAAATTCTGCCACATGCTGAAAAGCTCATATGCCATCATCACACGCATATCACCATATCTGGAATATAAACACAGATCCAAAGGAAAAAAATGGAATATTGGCATTTTAAACATAAAACAAGATTTAGCAGCATTACTTTTTTTTTTGATGTGTGCCATTGTGCTCACAGTATAAAAATGACAATAAACGTTATCTTATCTTATCTTATCTTATCTTACCATTACACTACATCTTATAAAAACAGAACCAGAGGAAAAAACAACTACCTTACTTTCAAAACAAACATATGAAAATGAAACTTAAGTTAATATATTCTTACTTGTCCAGAATCTTTTTCTGCTTAGCTGGAATAAATGTTTCTAGCTGCAGACTGGGTTGGTTGATAAATAAAACAGACAAGCTGAAATAAGAGTTCCAGGCCTACAAAACAGAAAAACAATGAAGCAACTAACTGAAAATTCTTATACAATTTAGTCCTTTACTATATCATTAAAAATGTCAACTGACTGTTCTAAAAAGCACCAGACATAAAGATAATGACAATGTATTTATTATGATGATATATTTATATTCTGCATATCTGCTCAGAAAACACCCAAGGCAAATGATTATAACAAATAAATACCCTCATTACATAATGATGGTAGTTTCATAGTCCATTCTGTATGTAAGTGCTGTACATATGACATGGGCATTTCTTTCACACACATCAATAAACAATGCATAGCAGATCTATTTCATAATATAATTCTATAACTGAATTTTTGAAAGTCAATTATAGAATTATTATAATAAAAATTATATAAATCCACACACAAAAGCCGAAGATTAGAGCTATCTGAGGTGAGAAATCCCATATATATTACTCTACAGAGACTATGATGTCAAGAATTTTTGAATTTTTATAAACAAAATTTCTAAACTAAAAAAACTTGTATTGCAATTTTTTACACCATTACCTGGGAGTTGGTTCACTAAACTCACTGAGATTTACCTCTGAATTTTTTCCCTTCCTTTCAATTTTGTCCCCATTCGCTGAGATTGCCTAGACATGTTTTCTTGGTAAGGTTTTTCAGAAGGGGTCTTGCCATTGCCTATTTCCTAGGGCTAAGAGAAAGTGAATAGCCCAAGGTCACCCAGCTAGTTTTGTGCCCAAGACGAAACTACAACATGATCTCTTGGTTTCTAGCCTGGTGCCTTAACCACTGCACCAAAATGTCTCTCTGAATAGACACACATAATTAATTGCTTGTGCTGCTTAGCAACAAAAATTCTGGCACTTCTGGTAAGCATTGTTAAGTGAATTGTTGTGAGTAATTAAATGAGGACATTACATAATCATGATCTGCAGTCTCCTGCTAGCTTTTCCACTAATTTTGCTTGTAGGAAGCTGGCAAAGAATGTGACAAATGTGGATACTGTGATGGCTGTAAGTACAAAGACCAATTATACGTATGTTCATTCAGTGCTGTCATACATTTGAATAATCACTGAACGAGTGGTCATTAAATGAGGACCATCTGCATTCTTTTATTTTTTCTATTTTAAAGTTCTGGATACTCTTGGAAAACTTTGGTGCAAATGCTTTACGAGTTGTCATTTAATAGCAAAACAAATACAATGTTGACAATTTAATAGTATCAATAAATTTTTAAAATACCTTAAAATCAAAATCTGTTTCCGTGAAATTCTTATGTAGTGCTGCAGACAGATACTGCACTGTTGTAACTATTACACTATAATAATGAAAGGAACAACATTATAGCACTGTTGTACAGAATATACAGAATATTTCAATCTAAATTTAGTGAAAATCATGTTCTTTTATATTAATTCACAAAATAGTGCTTAATATACAATTTAAAAAATTGCCAATCCATTGGATCATGAACATGAAGGTAACCACAAACATTCCAATCTAAAAATTTGCCCTGTGGAAAGCTAATACACAAATAGATTCCAATTCCAATACATTATTGAAAAATCTATCCAATTAAAATTATTCCATGTCTTAGACAGCCTAACAACACACTGAACTTCTAAATTATAATTTCTGTCACATCTATGGTTTGTTCATAGCTACTATTAAGAATTGAATTATACTAGGTTGATAATCTGGGTTTTTGTTGCTGTGGTTCAAGACATTTATTTTCATGTTTATAAACTGGTTGTGATTGTTCTAATAACAACAAAGTATTGCCACATAGGTAACTGTCTCAAACAGCCCAGATATGGAGGATGTTGGTTAGCAAGATGGAAAATACATCCACGACACCCTCATTCTCTGTCTTGAGAAGTAACTCTTCCCATTCTGGTAGCTATAGGCATGAGAAATTCAAGAGAAAAGGATCCACAAATTATAATTCCACTTTTCTGCTCCAGCCAATCTACTAATTGCAAGTCAAAGCTATGGTATGGTTATATCCTCAATTCACTCATCCAGTTCTGATATCCGGTGAAGAATATGGTGGTCTAATCATCTTTCAGATATAAAAACAGCATCATAGTTTGATTGACATCTAGTGGCCAGCGCTGGATACCAAAAGATCCTCTTCTAGATGAAGGAGGAAGCATGAAATTGACCTATTTGATCTCTGAATGATCGGTCCTCCTGAGTAAAATCAAAGATAGAAGGTTTTGCAGTGGGTTTGTGAGTAGAGTGATTCAGGGGCAAGAGACCCTATGATCATTCGCGGCTGTTATGCAGCCTTTATAGAAATTAGGACCTGCCAACTTCGTTTCTAAATAATGTTAGTTATCAGTTTAAAAGATATTTTCTTTCACAACTAATAAGTATTGCTCTGTGTTTTTTGCATTTTTTTCTGGGATTACAAAGCTAAAAGAAGACTTAAACACTTAAAGTACGAGGTCGATTCGGAAATAAACTTCCATTCGGTTATCAATGACAGACACTTGCAGATACAGAACCTTTACTATACACATTAGAAAACTACAACATTACTTTTCGACATAATCACCATTCAATCTGGGGCATTTGTCGTAACGTCTTACAAGGTTTGAAATTCCTTCTGCAAAAAAAATCTCCCGTCTGTGAATGAAGCCAACCTGTAACAGCATCGTGAAGCACATTGTCATTGTTGTAGCGGTGCGATGCAAGCCACTGTTTCATGTGCCTGAAGAGGTGGTAGTTGCTCGGCGCCAAATCTGGGCTATGGGAGGGGTGATCAAAAACATCCCAACGGAACTGCTTCAAAAGTTCTTGGGTGCGTCTAGCAGTGTGCAGGTGAACATTATCGTGAACCAACACCACACCGGAAGTCAGCATGCCCCAATGCTTGCAGATATCCAGAACCGATGGACTTCATGGACCTTTTTGTCAATTTCCTGCATGAGTTCATCGCTGACTACAGATGGGCGGCCACTCCTTGCCTCATCGTGCATGTCAGTTCGTCCATCTTTAAACATGTGACACAATTGATGTACATCTTTTTTTACATCGTGGTGACCAAAACTGGATGCAGTATTCCAAGTGTGGCCTTACCGAGGCATTGTAAAGTGGTATTAACACTTCACGTGATCTTGATTCTATCCCTCTGTTAATGCAGCCCAGCACTGTGTTGGCTTTTTTGGCAGCTGCAGCACACTGCTGGCTCATATTTAAGTGATTGTCCACTAGGACTCCGAGGTCCCTCTCGCAGTTACTACTATTGAGCAAGGTACCCCCTATACTATACCTGTACATTTGGTTTTTCTTGCCTAAATGTAGAACCTTGCTTTTTTCACCATTGAATTTCATTTTGTTAGATAGCGCCCAGTGTTCAAGTCTATCCAGATCCTCCTGTATCTTAAGCCTGTCTTCTGGAGTATTGGCTATTCCTGCCAGCTTGGTGTCTGTAAATTTGATGAGTTCCCTATCTATCCCCTCGTCCAAATCGTTGATGAAGATGTTCAAAGAAAAGTTGTTCAGGGACTGACAGGGATTTTTTTGGACTAGGAAGAGGAACCAAGAATGAGATTGACAAAGTATATCACAAAAATTCTCTTTTTTTGCAAGTATAAGAAATATCCCAAGGGATGTTTTAGTCCATTTTGTTAGGAAAAAGACAAGAGATCAAGTATTGCAACAGCATTTTAATATAAAATTAAAGATTGATAGTATAGATATAATTATCTTAAAAAGCATTCCTATTATTTATTTTATTTATTTATTTTACAAAATTTATATGCCGCCCTTCTCCCCATGGGACTCAGGGCGGCTCACAGCATGTTAAAACAATATACAGAATTACCCCTTCTAAAAACCAATTAAAACCCAAATATTAGTGGCTGTGACTATTTAAAATCATTAAACATTATCCCTATTTAAAATTCACCCTAGGTCAGTCCCGCTTGTTGAAAAAGCCATGTCTTGAGGGCGCGGCGGAAGGTTAGGAGATCCGGAATCGTCCGGATCTCGGGGGGTAGTTCGTTCCAGAGGGTGGGGGCACCCACAGAGAAGGCCCTCCCCCTGGGGGTCACCAGCCGACATTGCTTGGCCGACGGCACCCTGA